GCCTGGCAATGAAACGTCTGCACGAAGGAAAACAAGTTCAGAGAATGCCAAGAACCCACCAGAGGCTTGAAGTGCTTCTCAACTCCATTTTCAGCCCAGCTAGGTGGCAGTACCTTACCAATTTTGTCTCATGGGAGACCACCAGGAATCCCATGTCTGTAGATCAGAAAGCTGAAAAAGTCTTCTGGAAGAAAGCAGTGGCAATAGAGCACTTCTATGTTCTTCACAATAAATTACTCAGAAGTGTTCATAAAGTCACTAGGAAGCAAGCTTGGTTAGAAGGAGACTTTTATCTTTTATTTAATCCCTTTCAGAGTTAATCCCAGAAGTATGAAGATGCCATTCACCAGACTAAAGATATTCATCTCTGGATCCTAGTTTGCACTGCCATTGGCCTTTCTCAGAGGCTAGAATGTAGTTCACCGTGGACTTCAAAAAAGGCTGCATTTCTTCAAAAGAGGATAGACTCTGGTGAGGAATTTCAGAGGACAGAAATGGACAGGGCGGAATAAAGTGGGATTAGCCAGGCAGTTTTGAAGAAACTCTGCAGGATTAGGCCAATGATCCACCTAATTCAGGATCTTGCATTCCTTTCAGGAAGTCAACAAACAGCAAACCACTTTTCAATGTTTGCTTTCTAGCCACTGGTGCTTTGTGGTTTACTGCTCACAGACACAGGAGACAGGACTGCCAGTTTTGGAAGTTAGTTAAGCTCCTAGCCATCGCAGTGTCTGGTGGCAGTGAGTTCCACAAGTTAAGTCTTACATGAAACGGTACAGTGGAGGTCTGTTCTCCTGCCCCTGAAGTGGGTTGAGGGCTATACGTGCATACAAAATAAAAGCTATGGTTTGTGTACAGCTGGCTTCAGGGACAGTTACTTTTTACTAACTGGGTTTGAGATGGTTTAGAACAGTGTTGTCCAAACTTGGCCACTTTAAGATGAGTGGACTTCAACTCCAGCCAGCCTGGGGAATTCTGGGAGTTGAAGTCCACTCATCTTAAAGTGGCCAAGTTTGGACAACACTGGTTTAGAACAGTGTTGGCAACTTTAAGATGTGTGGAATTCCCCAGCAAGATGGCTGGGGAATTCTTGCAGCTGAAGTCCACACATCTTCCAGTCGCCAAGGTTGAAAAACGCTGTTCTAAACCATCTCAAACCCAGTTAGTAAAAAGTATCTGTCCCTGGAGGCAACTGTACACAAAGGTGAGCTCAGTTCCCCTGATTTGTGGGAATTTCAGGCCATGTTCTGCCTCTGCCGTGAGGATTTTTCACAGCTGGCGCATCATGCACCCAGATTTGGAAGTGATAGAATGCATTGTTGTGACAGGAAGGAGTGGCTGCTCTTCCAGCTGGAACCAGACTGGGAGTTCTGGATTTTGTTCTTATCGCTGTCCCACAGGGCATTTGTCTACGGCACAGGAAAACAGGGTTGTTTTTCACATCCAGCAAATGCTGCAGAAGAAAGAAAGTTTGCGCAGCCTCCTGAATTTGCTGTGCTGTTTCACGCTGTAGCCTTCAGCCTTACCGATCGAAGATAAGATCAGCTTTTTCTCAACCTTGGCCGCTTGAAGATGTGTGGACTTCAGCTCCCAGAGTTCCCCAGCCAGCCACAGGAAAGCAGAGCAGACAAGAACGCCGATAGAAAGCCAATGCTTTCTATTGAATATACTCTAGGAAGCCACCTTCCAACGAACAGATCAGCTTCTGTTTCTCTAGCAATGTTTGTGTTGCTTTTTTTCTTGTCTTATTCCAGGGGCTTCCCTTTCAGGTTTGGAGAACTGAAGGGGACCCCCTCCCAGGGCTGCCTGTGGGGGAGGGGGGTCAAAAAAGTCAAGATGGCACCCATGGCTGTGCAGTCAAAGCCATTTTTCTGGGCAATCCCCATAGAAAGTACTTGGCCGAAATAGTCCGGACAAGAAGCACAACCAGGAGCACTAGCTCTATCTTATTGTAAGGTTACATTAAGACAATCTTGCAAGTCTGAAAGAATTCCTCCCCTCCTTTCCTTTTACTCTCTGGAAAACCAGGGAGGGTCCCTTCTGAGGCACTTCCTACGTCCTCCGTCCTGTGGGCTGAGACCTCTTTTGCATGACGGTTCTCCAGTCTGTGGCTCTCCCTCCTGTCTCCCAAGGTCATTCCCACATACCATTACCGACATGGATTACAAGGTCATGGTCACCATCTTGACTTTTTTGACCCCTTCCCCACAGACCTGCCCCCTCCCTCCCTCTGCTCCCTCGCTTCAGCCTATTCCCCATACTGCCATTCCTCCTTTTCACCATGGGTAGTGAAAAACCTGTTCCTTGCCCCGCTCCTTAATCTCATTCACGACCGGATCTTCCTAGTGCCAGATCTAAGAGCAAATATTATTTCAGTCCACTTAGCTCTTGGCAAAATGGTTGCGTCACGCAGAAGGGCAGGAGACGGAAGAAAAACGACTGCGCGCTTCAGGAAACGGATAAACATAGTTATGTTTTGAGGTTTAACAGATAGGTTTCCCTTTCTTGTGGAGTTGCCCAATAACAGCTCGTGCTACACAAACAGACACATACAGATACCATCAGTGAAATTTATTCAGCTTTTCCTGCACTATCCCATGGGGGTGTGTGTGCGAGAGATAATATAATATATTACAGTATGCCCTTTGGAATAAGCCTTCCCACCCCCAAAGTTCATTTGACCCCAAATTTTGCAAGTCCTTGAAGACACAGATGTGCCTGGCGGTTGGATAACCCTGTCAATGGGACTTCTCTTAACATGACGGTGGTTGTGTGGATTGAGTTAGATTATCCTTGGATGTCATTCTGCGATTATTGTGCTCTTATTTGGACTAATCAGCCCTTCAAGTAGACCTGGAAACAGACTCTACAGGAAGACTTTATTGCTCCAGTACAGCTTTTCTCAACCTTGGGAACTTTGGGTGCTGGGTGGGGAATTCTGGGAGTTGAAGTCCACACATCTCAAAGTTCCCGAGGTTGAGAAACACTGCATTAAGAGATAAAAGAGAAATAACATCTCAATTCTCCAAAAGGGAATGTTAAAAAGCTCCAAATAATCCTGCTTTGATTCTCTATGGTATAAGAGGGGGCAGAGGGAATGCTGGCTGGGGAATTCTGGGAGTTGAAGTCCACAGATCTTAAAGTTGCCGAGGTTGAAAAACACTGGTGTAAGGTAAAACTCCTTGAGCTGTGAGGTGTTAGGGCAGTGTAGGAGAATATTAATATTATTATTAGTAATAATAATGATACAGAGAAAAAAAGGAAAGAGAAAGAATCAGTTAAGACTTCCAGGGTGGAGTCATTCTCCCTGCCACCTCCTGCCACAGGTACTTGTTATATGATAGCATAAATATGCATTTCCTCTATTATTAAGGCCTGAATAATATTTAATTATTAAGTAGAAATAATGGCTGCCAGTTGTGGGAAAAGAAGCATCTTGAATGGAGAAATGGGCCAAGTGGGAATCCCCTCTCCCTGCTGTTTTCCCTGCCAGTGCTTCTCAACCTTGGCAACTTTAAGATCTGTGGACTTCAACTCCCAGCATTCCCTAGCCAGCCATGATGGCTGGGGAATTCTGGGAGTTGAAGTCCCCAGATCTTAAAGTTGCCAAGGTTGAGAAGCACTGCTCCCTGCAAATGAAACCGCTTCTCTGCTGCTCCTACTGTGAAAATCTTCACTTGCTGCTGTTTGAATAATTTTGACAGATATGTTTTCTCGGGTCACCTTTGTGTCCATGAAGTCTCTGAGTGCACCTGAAGCCTGGCCCCTTTTCCCTGGCTGCATTCCCACAATGCCCTTAACCTGCTTCCTGAATTAACCAATGGAGCTTGCACAACCCCTGGCACCCTTAAAGAACCAGAGGACCTGGATTTGCACAACCAGACTCCCCGAGGTTAACATCAAGCAAGCTGAGCATGTTGGGCAAGGACAGCTGCTAGGTTTGGAAGAGAACGGAGGCCTTGGGTTGTGCAAACGCAACCCCTGTGTAAGATAGCTACGGAACAGGAAGCAGGCGGCAAGGCTTGATTTGGGTATAGCTCTAAATCAGGGGCAGCTTCTGTCTCTTTCCTTGGAAAATATAAGTGGAAGGAAGGACAGACTTCTTGTTTCTTCCTATACGGGTAGTCCTTGCTTAATGACCACAATAGGGACTGGAAAATTGGCTGTTAAGCAGGGTGGTTGTTAAGTGAATTGGACCCAATTTTATAATCTTTTTTGCAGCGGTCGTTAAGCAAGTCATTGTGGTCATTAAGCAAATCACACAGTCATTAAGCGAATCACGCATTCCCCATTGAATTTGCTTGGCAGAAGCCAGATGGGACAATTGCAAATGGCGATCACATGACCCAGGGATGTTGCAACCGTTGTAAGTGTGAACTGGTTGCCAAGCGCCCAGATTGTAATCACATGACTGCGGAGGTGCTGCGACAGTCATAACTTTGGGCAGTGGTCGTAAGTCACTTTTTTTAGCACCATTGTAACTTTGAATGGTCACTAAATGAATGGTTGTTAAGCAAGGACTACCTCTAAAGCACGGTCTTTGTCAGAGTTCAGACTTTACCTGGCTCTCTATTCCCGTTTGGATTTTCAGAGGTTCTCCTGGGGGCCTGTCTTTAATTCTCCAGCTCTGTTAACTTTAGATCAATGTTTTTCAAACCTGGCAACTTTAAGATTTACTTAATGTTTTATTTTTTATTTATTCATTTTATTATGTAGTTATTATTAAAATATTATTCAATAAGATTTATTTAAAATTTCATAATTT